GTAATTAAACAGAAAGAATTACAAGTATATGTTTATTTTGACCTAGTCTTTCTATAATCATTCCCTGTTCATAAAGGAAGGTTTTTTTATTAACAGAAAATGACTACTAATAAGTGCAAGGAATGATATGATGAAAATCATTTTGCAACCCCAAATGGAGTAATCTATTTAATAAAGAAAATAAACCTGTTACTTGAAAGACTGTTGAGAGACAGCATTGATCCACAGGCCAAAAATGCCAATCTACACATTACCTGCTAATTACAAAAGGAAAACATAAGTTTACAATGGAAAGATCTAGTAGTTACCACCTTAACCAAATGGCAAAATTTAGCATCTCTAACAGTGGAATAACCTGAATAAGAACTTGCTATCGTGATGCAATATGAAGTATGCAGTCCACCCAATAAATATTTTGGCAAAAATCTGAGACCTGAATCAACATTTTAGACTCAACTTTCAGTTTAAAAGAAATAAAGGAGATTGAGCAAATAGTTAAATGGCACCATGAGAAAATAATCAAATAAATTCATAACAAAGACACAAAGCTAGTTTTGGATTAGGATACAGACAATCACAAGAGGCCCCTGGTTGTACTATAACTAGGGGGAAAAAAATCCCTATACAACCTAAAAAACAATGTATTAAAAAGAAACCAAGAGAACTGAGGATGCAAAGAGATCTAATGGAACTAAATTTCAAAAGGTGACAAGCCCTCCTAGGTGAAGTGATCCAAGGCACTTTGTGGATTTGCAGAAAGGGTGGGCAGTGGTAAAGGATCAAGCCTTACAAAGCAGAGGAATTTTGTTTGCTTAAAGGGAAAGCAGCTGAGCTTTCAATGGCAGCTTAGAATGATGTGACAGACTGGAAACTTTAAGAAACTCAAATGCAGAGATTGTTCTCCCCATTCTCCTGCTTTCCCCCTTAGGTCTTTTTGCAAGTAAGAAAAAGGTGGGGGAGAGAGGGGACTCACTGCAGACTTGGAGTGGGACTAAAAAGGCAAAATTCTCTTCACTCTTCCATGGGCATCTTCCCTGATAGCTCAGTTGGTAAAGAATCTACCTCAGTTGGTAAAGAATGCAGGAGACCCCGGTTTGATTCCTGGGTCAGGAAGATCCCCTGGAGAAGGGATAGGCTACCCACTCCAGTATTCTTGGGCTTCCCTTGTGGCTCAGCTGGTAAAGAATCCGCCTGTAATGAGGGAGACCTGGGTTCAATCCCTGAGTTGGGAAGATCCCCTGGAGAAGGGAAAGGCTACCCACTCCAGTATTCTGGCCTGGAGAATTCCATGGACTATATAGTCTGTGGGGTTGCAAAGAGTCAGACATGACTGAGCGACTTTCACTTCACTTCACTTCCATGGACGTACGTCCCAGAGTCCTGCTAGAGGATGGCACCTGGAATATACACACAACAGGACTCACTCACTCTCACGGCATTTAAAGCCAGAAGTGAACTGAAACTATCTAAAGAGGTAATCCAGTTTCAACCCAGCTTAACTCCTAATGAGTTCAAAGTGTTCAATCTTCATCTCAGTTGCCTATCAGAAAAAAGCATGCCCTCTCTGGGTAAATAATATTTAAATATTTACCCAAGTCTCTTCTAAATACTAGGTTAGTATATATATTTTTATGATTACCAGACATACAATGAGGCAGGAAAAAATGATCCCTGACCAAAGGAAAAAACGGCCAAAAGAAACAGATCCATAGATTAACTTTACGTTGGAATAAGCAGACAAGGACTTAAAATAACTATTATAAATTAAATTATATGGAGGAAAATATTAACTGATGAGATGAAAACATGGAGAACTTTAATAGAAAAATGAAATCTTTAAAGAATAGCCAAATTATTATAGAAGAATCAAGAGAAGTCTTGAAAACATCTCTCTTGGTAATAATAAAATAGAATAAAAAGCCAAAAAGAAAAATTGGTAAGGATATGTAGAATATTTGGAAAATGCCAGTAATCACTTTGAACCAACAATCAAAAAATACAGAATGTGGTATATTTTACAAATCAACTGACATTTCTTTAAAAATTCAATGTTAGGGAAAATAAAAACAAGAACCTAAAAAAATCTAACCACCAATACATGAGCCTTGATTTAGGGAAAATATTATAAAGAATGTTTTGGGGATAATACCAAAAATCTGAACTTATGAACTAGATACTTTAGGAAATTAGGAAATCACTGTTGATTGTCTTAATGTATTTACAGTATTATGGTTATGTAGAAAATGGAGATGAAATAGCATGTTATCTGCAATTTACTTTCAAATGGTTCAGGAAATGGTGTGTTTATAGTTTCCTCTGTGTGGAGAGTTAGAAAAGGGAAATTCTTTTATTAAACATACAATTATAGCTTTATATCATGCTTTGTTTCCAACTTAAATACTTCATATTACAAATAAAATTTTACTCATTTTTAGAAGGAAATCTTAAGTATAAATTTCTTCAAGCTAAACAGTCATCAAAAAATCTCAGCAGGGTAATGTCAGTAAGTCTTACTTCACATATCAAATTTCTCTTAAGTTTTAAGTATAAATACTTAAAAGCAAACTTTTATCAAACCTCTTAAAGTTCATCTTAGCTTTCGGACTGACACTGCCCTCAGAATCGTCAATAGGGAAAGGAAATACATATAACCCCAGTTAGAATGACAGATAACTCATTTCAAAATTCTATACTGTTTTAAGTCTTTTTTCACTCCCAAGTTTTAAGTTTACGGTAAAGCCACTATAACCTCTCTTGTGTTTACTTCCCATAGTAAAATCTTTTTAGTATATTTTGCCACTGTTCTTTTTTGGCAGTTTGATCTAAATTCTTATTAATGTTTGTTTTTAGCAGTTTGACCTAAAAATGACCTCTTTCAGAACACATGGAGATACAGTAACTATTGATAAAAACACAAATCTGAGGAAAAAAAAGGAAGAGTGAAGTGTGAGGCAGATTCATTATTCAAGTGGAAGGTACAAGTAAATGCTCCTGTGAGAATACCACATATCAAAGTGGTATTTGAAATAAAGACTAAAAGCTTGCCTGAAGTACTGGAATACTAATTTAAAAACAGTGCTGCTAAGAGCAAAGAACGATGGTCTTCAGTAGTGTAGTACTGATTTCCTGATCGGATTACATGATTACTTTGTGTCACAAGGGAAATGACATGTCTCAAATCGCGTTTCTTAGCTTGAAGGAGAAAATGTACAGTCTGTAGAACAGTCAGATTTATAACCAGTTTCTCCTCTAGAAGAGGCAAAAAAAAAAAAAAAAAAAAACCCCAAACATTTTAATTCCAAGCATCTCATTTCTTATGATTCTGGCTCCTTCCTTTAGTTCCCCAATTCTGTAATTCTTTGGCTCCACAATCCATTCACAATACCAATCTTTTCACTATTCCTCACCTACCTCGTATTTCCAGCTCCTTTCTTACACATCATCATGATCACCACAATGTATACATCAGCATCGCCCCTGCTCCTCTCTTAAGTCACTACACTCCTGTGAACTTTAATCATACTACACCATCTGTCCTCACTCTCTCCCTCTCCAAGAAAACTGTTTCACTGTAACTCTGTGCCTTAATTACTGTAGTATCTTCCTAACTGGTTTCCTTACTAACATCCTTGCCTTTTCTATAGTCTATCTTAACACTACAATTAATTCTTAAAAGATTCTTGACACATTTCTAAATGTTAATAAGAGCCTGTTACTTCTTCTTAAAACATTTAATGACTTTTGATCTCATGCAGCATAAAGGTCACTGACTTTATAATGGTCCACAAGATCCTACAAAATCTAGCTATTTGTTATCTTATGTTCTACCACTCTCCCCTTTTCATCCTGGTCTCCTTGCTGTTTCTGAAACATGCCAGCAAGCTCCTGTCTCAAGGCCTCTGGACTTGTTCAGGCTTGCTCTCTCACTTCCTTCATGTCTTTTACACATCACTTCAGTGAGGCCTTCTTTGTTATTTACTTTATTTACTTATTATTTTTTTTGCTTTACTTTTCTCATAGCACTTACCACTTTCTGACCTGTATATATTTAGTTTATGAATTGTTTCTTGATTCTAACTCCCACTAGCATTTAAGTTCCATGAAAGCAAGCGTTTTATCTGTTTGGTTGATTGTTGTACTTACAGTGCCTCTGATGTGACTGATACACAGTGGACAAACATTTAAATTATTTATTAAATGAATTAATAAAAGAACTAAGTAAAATACATATTTTTATCTGGGTTATCTGTTGAATGGATGAAATAGGAATTATTATATAATTTTTAAATGATATTAAAACAAAAAGTTTGAATAAAGAATAACTGGATTGAAATATAAACCTAAAGTTACCATAAACTTATTGTCCAAGCAGAAAGATAATGTTTTGCTTTCAAGAATTCATAATTCAGTCAACATACAAATCTGTTCTCATAATTTTACCCTTTGAGAGAAATGATCAGCAGTATTCCATTTTTTGACGTTTTTAACATTAAAAGCTTTGCTATGAGAAAATATAAACATTATCCAAAGTCAATATAAAAGTTGGAATACCCTGAATCATATATAAAAATTCAGAAATTGGAAACTTTTACAGATGTTTTCAGCTTTAAAGAATGGAAAATATTAATTTTTACTTGAATTCAAATATAATTATCTAAAGAAATTTCTATGCTATAACTTATGAATGATGACTCAACTGCTAATTAAATCTCATATTTTAAATGTACCAATGCTTAAATATATTAAATGAACTTAAAGGTATACTTCTAAAAAGTTGAAACAAAAAATTTTAAGTTATATCAAAGAAAAACAATTTGATTTAAAAAGATGAATGAAATAAACCTAGAGAAAGTAAGGCAAGGGGGAGAAACTATTTAAAAGACATCATCTGTTCTAAAAATTTCTATTTTGGTACAATGAATCATATACAGCATTACTTAGACTTAAGAATTTAAATAAGACATCAGAAACCAAAAATGTTAGTTCATAAAAACACTCACCTACAACACCATTCAATACGACCTTCGCCCTCACAAGTTTTTGCCCAATGATTATCTGCCAAATTTTTCATTGCAACAGCATATTCACAAAGAGTTTCCTCATCCTCACAATGTTCTCTCCAGATCTTATCAAAATCTCCCACTAAAAACAAGGGAAAAAAAAAGTTTACTTAAAATATGTCAAACTCTTAAGTTTCAGCATAATCTAAAATTATTATTTAAAGATGAATGTAAACAAAGTTATGAAGCAAAATTTCATGAAATTTAAACTTTATAATTTTGAAGCTTTTTTATGCAAATAGATTCACCATTTTAACCATGATGATTTGATAAACAAATAAAATTTACCATTTTAAACAGATTTGTGACACTAGATCTCTACATATTTATCAGTGTCCTATATTAAAAAGGGTTGATAGGTGAGATGGCAACATACATTAGCATGCAAGTTAAATGTTTGCATTGATATACTTGGATTTGCTCTAGGAATACTACACTTTAAAAAATTATAATCCTAGGGCAAAATTTTGCTAGAGAAATTACCCTGGAAACCTCTCCAAGGTTTTGAGTCTATATAAGATGAATAAAAATTGTAAGGTGACTACATTATCTGGCCACAGCATTACTTCCATCTACTACCTTTTTCCTTTTTAATTAAATCAGTAATCATATTTAACATGAAATTTGAAAAATCAATGTCAGTTCTAACAAAGGTATGAAAATGACACAGTCAAATAAATAACATTAAAACAATTACAAAGTTAAAAAAGTAAACAAAAATCATCAATGTGGCTTGAATCAATGCTCTTAGATATAATTTAGGTTCTCTTGCTACGTGTTCAAGTACAGGCAATTGTTTAGTGACACAATAAACTTAGAAACATAAATATGACAACCAAATCTGGGGGATGATAATTATATTAAGCTCTTTCCCCAGGTGAGACAATTAGTTTCAGTAAGACTTGGGTTTTTTAAAAACAGAAAAGGAATTATAACAGCTCAAATTTAACAGTACTTATCTATTCATAATTTGAAAACCTTTACTGGTTATTTTAAGCACCCAGTTTAGCAGGTACAGAGTTGAAAACGAAACTATTAGCCTTCTAGTTTGACCAATACAGGAAAAAGCAATTAAGGGTACAAACATGCCCTCACACACACACTACTCAGTTAAGATGAATGTGTATCAGTCTCAAACTTGGTCTGTATACTCATTTTAAACCCACAAAGGATGAAAAGCTGTCTCTTTTCTGTGTGTGATTATGTTCTTATACAGTAATATTTTCATTAATCACTAATACTTTGTAGTAATAGGGCTCTCATTTGTTATATAGCAGACTGGCAATAACTGGCCATTAGAAACAATACTTGTGTAGTAACAGGGTCCTCAATTTGTTATATAGCAAACTGGCAAAAACTAGCCATTAGAAACAAACAAGCAAACAAATTTTTCTAAATTCTCATAGAAACACTCTCCAGTTTTAGTAACATCTTTCAGATGTACTTATTTATTAAGTCTCTAAGTAGGACTACAGGAAGTAAAGTCTTTGAAACAAATATACTGATTAATGATTCTTCAATATATCTATTATGTTCATAAAACTATTCCTGACTTTACTCATCAGATTTAATGTCAAATGTTTCATTAAGGTACATATTCATTTTCAAGGTGCTTTATCTTTATTTGAAATGGATATTGTCAATTCTTTAGCAATAACACAAGAGATGACTCTACATGTGGACATCACCAAATGGACAACACTGAAACCAGACTGATTACATTCTTTGCAGCTGAAGATGGAGAAGCTCTGTACAGTTAGCAAAAAAAGACATGGAGCTGACTGTGGCTCAGATAATTAGCTCCTTATAGCAGAATTCAGGCTTAAACTAAAGAAAGTGGGGAAAACCATTAGGCCATTCAGATATGGCCTGAATCAAATCCCTTTTGAGTATACAGTGGAGGTGACAAATAGATTCAAGGGACTAGATCTGGTAGACAGAGTGCCTGAAGAACTATGGACAGAGGTTCATAACACTGTATGGGAGACAGTGACCAAAACCATTCCAAAGAAAAAGAAATGCTAGAGGGCAAAGTGGTTGTCTGAGGCAGCCTTACAAATAGCTGAAGAGAAAGAGAAGCAAAAAGCAAGGGAGAAAGGGAAAGATATATCCAACTGAATGCAGAGTTCCACAGAACAGCAAGAAGAGATAATAAAGCCTTCTTCAATAAAAAAAATGCAAAGAAATAGAGGAAAACAACAGAATGGGAAAGACTATAGAGATCTTTTCAAGAAAGCTGGAGGTATCAAAGGAACAGTTCATGCAAGGATGGGCACGATAAAGGACAGAAACAGTAAGGACTTAACAGATGCAGGAGAGATTAAGAAGAGGTGGCAAGAATACAGAGAAGAACTGTACAAAAAAAGGTCTTAGTGACCCGGATAACCACGATGGTGTGGTCAACTCACCTAGAGCCAGACATTCTGGAGTGTAAAGTCAGGTAGGCCTTAGGAAACATTACTATGAACAAAGCTAGTGGAGGTGATGAAATTCCAGCTGAGCTATTTCAAATCTTAAAAGATGATGCTGTTAGAGTACTGCACTCAATATGTCAGCAAATTTGGAAAACCCAGCAGTGGCCACAGGACTGGAAAATGTCAGCTTTCACCCCAATCCCAAAGAAGGGTAGTGCTAAAGAATGTACAAACCACTAGACAATTGTGTTCACTTCCCATGCTAATAAGGTTATGTTCCAAATCCTTCAAGTTAGGCTTCAGCAGTACTTAAACAGAGAACTTTCAGATGTAAAAGCTGGATTTAGAAAAGGCAGAGGTACCAGAGGTCAAATTGCCAACAGTCACTGGATCATAGAGAAAGCAAGGGAATTCCAGAAAAACATCTACTTCTGCTTCATGGACTGCACGAAAGACTCTGACTGTGTGGATCACAACAAACTGTGGAAAATTCTTCAAGAGATGGGAATACCAGACCATTAAACCTGTCTCCTGAGAAATCTGTATGTCGGTCAAGAAGCAACACTTAGAACTTAGTTCTAACACTTAGAACACTTAGGACATGGAACAACTGACTGGTTCAAAACTGGGAAAGGAGTACAGCAAGGCTGTATATTCTCACCCTGTCTATTTAACTTACATGCAGAGTACATCACGCGAAATGTCGGGCTGGACAAGTTACAAGCTGGAATCAAGACTCCCAGGAAAAATGTCAGCCACCTCAGATATGCAGATGATACCCCTCTAATGGCAGAAAATGAAGAGGAACTAAAGAGCCTCTTGATGAGGGTGAGAGAGTGAAAAAGCTGGCTTAAAATCCAACATTCAAAAAACTAAGATCACGGCATCTGGTCCCATCACTTCACGGCAAATAGAAGGGGAAACAGTGGAAGCAGTGACAGATTTTCTCTTCTTGGGCTCCAAAATCACTGCAAATAGTGACTATAGCCATGAAGTTAGAAGATGTTTGCTTCTTGGAAGGAAAGCTATGACAATGCCAGGTAGCATATTTAAAAGTAAAGACATCACTTTGCTGACAAAGGTCCATATAGTCAAAGCTATGATTTTTTCCAGTAGTCATGTATGGATGTGAGAGCTGGACCATAAAGAAGGCTGAGCACTGAAGAATTGATGCTTTTGAACCCTGGTGCTGGAAAAGACTCTTGAGAGTTCCTTGGACAGCAAGGAGATCAAACCAGTCAATCCTAAAGGAAATCAACCCTGAATACTCATTGAAAAGACCTATGCTGAAGCTGAAGCTCCAATACTTTGGCCACCTGATGCGATGGGCCAATTCACTGGAAAAGCCTCCGATGCTGGGAAAGATTGAAGGCAAAAGGAGAAGGGAGCAGCAGAGGATGAGATGGTTAGATAGCATCATTGACTCAATGGACATAAGTTTGAGCAAACTCGAGAGATGGTGGAGAATAGGGAAGCCTGGCATGCTGCCATAGGTTCCAAAGAGTCAGACTTGACTTATCAACTAAAAAACAATTATCAATTCCAGACCCTTTGTTTGAACATGTAAGTTTCACTGTTCTAAGTAATGTACATATTACAAGTAAATACATAAACTTACTACATTTTCTGGTAATAGAAGTCATTCAAACAAAGGTTTTATGATCACATATGTTTGGGAAAATCTATGTTTAACTTAAAAAGATTTCCTTTTTTCAAGACCTAGTTTAGATTCTACAAAAGGTACAACTAAGGGAGCCCTAGGAAACAGGAGTGAGGGAGTTGGGGAGAACAAGTTAAGGGAGGAGAAAATGCTAATACAAGGGTGCATTGTTGAGCCTGCGGCTGTGGACAACACAGAAGCATACTGTGCCTCAGGAATTGTGCACCCAAAGGATGGGAGGCTAGAGCATTTATTTTACAGTTATTATCCCCCAATAATTAAGAGTCAGAACAATCTGTGCTTCTACTCTACACTAAGGCACTGAAAAGGGGGATGCTCTTAGTGGGCTCCAGCAGTTTTGGAAAAAGCTGAAAAGCAGAAAAGAAGGCAGCATTTAAATGGGGATTCTGTCAGGGCTAGTCCCTCTGAGCTCACAGTATCTGACCATCACACCCGAGGACCAATGTTATGTTACACACATGAGCCACCAAAGACATCTACTATAAATTCTCTGAGTCCTTACTATGTCATTGCATACTGTGAAATTATATTCAAAATTCTCTTTAAATACTGCCAACTTTTTATGAAGTTTTAAGGCTTACAATTAACATTTGCTCCACTAAAATTTTGAGGAAGGATTCAAATTTGTCTGTAAGCCTATAAATTCAAACTGTTTGCAAACTTCAATTTAATGTTTTCACTAACATTTAAGAGTCTCCAGATCCTCCAAGTATGCTGATACTGAGACTAGTATGATTAATAGTATATTTAATATATAACCGAGACTAAATGCAATTGTACATACTTTTCATTTTCTTTAACAAATTTGCTGAAAAAATACTCTATGTTAAATACTACAGAGAATAATAAAGTTAATGAGCAAGCACTGGCATCAAACAAAAGGGAGAAGACATGTAATATGTGGTATTTGTTCTCATAGAGATATAAACCTGACATATTCTCTATGGTTCACGTAAGCCATTCCAGACCCAGAAGTTTTAAATCATG